GCAGAGGTGGCGGCGGTCTCGGGTAGATCAGGTGAGGCTGCTGATTGGTGGGTTTGGCTGGGGTGGAGTTTGTTGTTGTTGTTGATGTATCTTGCGTTGTATCTTGTGTTGTGGTTATTGGAGTGGTAATGTTTACTGGTGCTTGGTGAGCTTGATTATGTCAGCAGAAGGTGGAGAGTTTGGGAAGGTGAATACCGGCATGTTATTTAGTCTGAAGAGTTCGTTGATGGTAGTGTTGAAGGAGCCTGGTGCTGCATGTTGTGCATTGAGCATACAGTAAGCAGTACTGTATTTTTGTTGAGCCCTCATGCTGGAGTGGAGATACTGGTGGTGGAGGCTGGGATGATTTCAGGAGTTTGGTGGTGTCGGCCTGCAGTTTTTGTGATAGCTGCATACGTGGGTGATTTAATGGAGACTTCTTCTGATTTGCTTCTATGTTCTTTTTGATGATTCACGACGGGTAGGACATTTTGCTGCGAGAGGTGGTGGTTATTCTTGCGTTTAGACATTGAGGTAGCGGGAAGAGCATGTCCAGGTCGTGGCCTCATTCACGGTGGAAGAATTTCTTGTCTTTTGAAAGGGCAAGTCTTTTTGTTGAGTGGAGGTAAGAGAAACAGGTCCCGCATTGAGAGACGTGGTGGTACGTTCAGCTTCAATGTTGCAGGCGTTGATAAAATAATAGTAAAGGCTAGTCCTCCGCCATGGCTTGGGAAGCCATTGTGACGTCAGTAAAGGTGATCTTGAGCATTGAAGAGGCCCTGGGAATCTTGTTAATGTTTTCCACGGTGGCCCAAGGGTTCTGGTTTCGACAGATTTTTTTGAGGTCTTCGATGGTCTGAGAAGTGATCAGCTTGTCCCGGCGCTTCAGAAAGACAGTCCCCCTAGGCCCTTAAGGCTGGAGAGACATGATCTGTAGCCACGTTCTTGTAGTGTTGCAGGGCAGTTTCCAGTCAGCAGTTTTCTCGGCCTCCACATCGTCCTCACAGACGATGTGAAGGATTCTTGGAGGGAAAGGATCGTGTTGACCTTGATGTTCAAGCCCCTGACAGTTACAGCAAGGGCAAGCTTGGTGGAGGTCGTTGAAACAAACCACTTGTAGGTTTAATCTTGACTCTGTTGGAGTAACTCATCTTGAGATCTTGATGTGGGTAATCGGTGAGGTAGAGGTTCCCCTCCCCAACGGGGATCGCAGGGACACTACTTGAGGAGCGACTGTGACTTGCCAGTAGCAAGGCCAGCAGTGCAAAAACAGCATGGAGCCGTGTCCTCCTCCCACACAACCCACAACGAACCTCCCCCCCCCTCCTATCTAGCAAAACCACACTAGAAGGCAAAATCCTGTGCAAAAATCGGAACATGACCTCCCTCACCCGTGGTTGCAACCTCAACCTCCTGAACTCTCCCAGATAGATGCCCAATCGTAAATTGGGTAGAGCTCCTTCCCCACCTGCGCCTCAAGCCTCCCCATCGCCCTTTGTAAAACCCTCACCCTAACCTTCCTTACGTCTCGAGCCAAAGCCATCACCCGTAACGCTGCCTCACACTCCCTTAGATCCTGTACAAACCCCGCAACAGCTCATGAACCTTTCCCAACTTCCCCCCCCCCCCCCGGAATTCCCCTACCCAACACCTCACGCCTTATAAAACACATTTAACCCTTTTCCGGAGATCCAACAGACCCATCCCTCCCCTTCTTAGGATTAGTGTTCTTGTCTGGTGGTGAGCATATTACATACAGCCTTAATGACCCTCGTGTAGTTGACAGGCTTTAGACCCCATTAACAAGCTCGCTGAACCAACCCTTCTTCCCAACAAGAACTGTAACCTACCAATCAGTTGGTGTCCGTCTGTTGTCATGGAGCGACTTCATGTGTTATTCCTCCAAGTGTCGTGTGTAGTCTCTATAATTGGATCTTGCTAGGGTAAATATTGTCGAAATGACATCTGTTTTTTTGCCATAAGTATAACATGGCTTATGATTATATGTATATATAGAGCTACTTTTAGACGCACACTATAACAGCAGTGAAGTTCATAGTGTAAACTTCAGAAATAGCACCGTTACTGTATGGCAAATCCTAGTGCTACCAAATAAGTTTCCTTATGTTGACAGTAGCTTCGTATTAGTTAATAAATTGAAAATATAAGTAGCTCAGTTAAGATAGTCTATTGTACTCTACATTTTAAAATAGGCACTCCTGAAATTTTTGGATAAAATTCATGGGCTAACCTGCGTCTTTCTACTTAATTTTGTACATAACCCAAGTGGTAGACTTCTTTTACTAGCTATAGAGGAAGGCTGTTGACCACTGTGCTCTAGGCCCGTACAAGTTGCTCCTGTCTTGTGTTATTTGAATTCTTTACGGAACAAAACTGATTTGAAAAAATGCCCAATGGCTCTGGCATCCTTGCATTGAAACCTACCTGACTACAGCTGCATGAAACTTTAATTTAACCAGTTCTGGTAGCTGAGAGATCAAAAATGTAGCCCAGAGCCCTCTATCTTAATACACTAAAGATAACTGCAGAGCCATCATAGAACTTACAATGCAGTAAAATTTGCGTGCATGCAAATGAATACCTGTGTGGAACTTGTGCTGTAAAATCCTTCATGGAAACTAATCACGTGAGCTTTAAATTCTCTTGTCCCGTTAGAACACTTTCATTTTTAACTAGTTATCCTTCTAAATGACCCTGTAGCATTGCAGATGTTTAATTTCAACTAAATTGTTAAATTGACTTGACTTGCCTAATAAGTATCTTAACTTTTTTTTTCAGTGATCATTTAACACTGGGAAAATTAACTTACTCCATATTTTCCTCAAATTTTGAAGCAGAAAGACTTTTCCAGTTATCGTACTTTGATCCCGAAAACTGCAAAATTTAACTGCGTATGTTGGCAAATTTAGGCATAAAGATCAAGAAAATAAACTACAATGTATTAGCGTGAGCGCGAATGGAATTGCTGTACTAGGCTCTCCATTTGCTGGAAGGTAAAATCTTTGTGAATAAAACCAAGACTCTTGCCTAGCTCAGTGTCGACGCTCGTTAACACTAAATTTGAAGAGGACCAGAAGAAATGTTTGAACTTGTCATTTCATCAGGGTATAAATCCCCTCTAGGCTTGAAGCAATTCAGCCTAGTTTGATGACTTCCCCTCTTTCCTATATTACTTCAAGAAACTCGCTTGAAGCTGCATCAGAGATTGAAAATTTTTAAACTAATGTAGTTATCGCACAGAAACTGGGTGAACTTTCCCAGTTTCTTTTTTCTCGCTTTGTTACCTTTCCCTAATTAAATTACACGAGCGTTAAAAATCAATCTGATCGGTAGTCTTGTTCATACTTTTAGAAAGGTGAAATAACCTTCAAACAACTTCAGGTATATGTAATGAAAGGGAAACATTCCATTGTTTTTAACTTTTCTTTTAAACGAAACTTCGCTTAGTTTTTTTTTTTCTTTTAGCCATTTAGTTCCGAGGGTATTAGTTACAGGAAGGGGGGGGGATATGAAAGTTAACTTCTTGCACGTACCTACACGACGGTAATTATAACTGTCTTGGTAATCGGGTAATTTTAGATATTAACGTTCACACACTTGATAAGAGAGAGCGCTTTTGGTTAACTCCAAATCTCTATAGTAACCTATATGTAGCAGTCTCCTTAGTGAAGTTCCTTGACGCTGGTGAGGGACTCCAGATCCTGAACAGGCAGAATACCTTAAATTCCACCCCCCCCCCTTCCAGGCGCTGTGGAATCCCTACAGGTATAAGCACCTCTTCAGATAATTTTTACGATGTATTGTAATTGCCTGGACTTAGTGTTGCGAATTTTTATATGCATGCTTTCTAGCGGGATCTTGACTTGTGCAATTAACTTTTTTAAATAGCGATTTAAGTAGCAGAAATTTGATAAATAGTATGAAACTTAAGTTCTGGCTGAAACTAATTTGTACCATAAATTGATACTCTAATGGGGCTCTAAGTACACGGTTATTTGGATGCAGATGACAGTACTTGGGATATAGCATTCGGTTTTCCTGCTGCCTTTAAATATAGCACTACTGGGAAGTGCTTGCTCCATTAGAATGTTAACCCAACATTTTCCAGATGCTCTGTTTTATTAAAGAAAGGGTAGCTTGTTATCTTTGGATAGATCCCTCTCTCCCCCATCCCCCCGACATCTTCCTCTTTAAGATGCAAGAGTAGGGGTAGCATTTATGCTTTGACGGTATCTTCAACCAGGAAAGAGGTGCTCTTTATTCTAAATTGATCTTTCTCTTGGCGCTCTCCTATGGATTAAATGATTCCATCTCCTACGCTGGGTCATCTTTTCTCTAAATTTGATCAGACTAGGCCCCTACCAACCCATTTTGGGTTCCAAACATTTTATCCCTTAGTTTTATTAAAGAAAAATCTAAATGGTTAGACTACCTCTTGTTTCGGTTCCTGGTATGAAGGACTGGAAAGAGGTGAAAACGAATGTAGCAAACTCCTAATATTGGAGATTTGTTAAAAAGGCGGTCACTTTCTTAAGTCTTTAATTTATCATGCTTTTCTCTTAGTATAATCTAATTAGTTTAATTTAATTACCCAGTTACCTACTTTGTTGCTAAAATAACCAGTTATTAATTCTGATCCTGAGGACTTTATACTCTGGCTGTCCAGTTTATCTAGCGAACACTTGCCAAATTGCCGCATTGGAAAAAAAAAAAAAAAAATATTGAAGTCAAACTTCTGGCACTTGAAAATACTACATGGGTTCTAGAAAAATTTTCTAAATTCTTTGGATTACTACTTAAAGTACTGAATAGATTCTACCACAAATAAGCGAATGGTCGCTCTTATGACCCACCAATGGCACTCGACCAGATAATTTACTTAAGCACGTCTTTCAGTGCTCCCATCATAACCTGTACTGGAAACCCCTAGTTTTCCCTAACCGATGTCGTTAAACTGGTTGGCAGAAGCAGACTTAATTATGAAGTTTAATAGTATTTTGCTTCTGCAGAAGCTACATGATCACCACGCCCCGGCAGTGGACTGCGGAGGAGCCTAATAAAGTGTGCCTCTTCACCACTAGTCGTGTACCAGTAGTTATCAAAGTCAATCTCGTGAGCTACAACTATCCCTTCACCCAGGAAAATGTACAAATAACTGAGGCTCTGTTAAATTTCCCTGCAGGTAAGTGGCAAAATCTGTAGGTAGGCAGTTTTAAATTAAACCCAAACAAGGTATATAGTATATTGTGAAACTCGATTCCAGAGTTGAATGTAGGCTGTTCTTAGTGCTTGGTACACAGGCCATAAACCCTCTTTTTAAACTGCACGAGCCGTAGAACTTCTGGAAAACCTTACGGAGAACTGCAGTATTTTTCTAGTTTGTGCATGAAAAATAATTACGTAGGCCTAAAAGTTAATTTCTTTAAAGCATTACTGATTTTGGATCACTGTGCAACCGGGGAAAATGATCTCTTAATTCAAGAGCCCAGTCTCTCCTCCTTCCCCCCCACAATACACCAAACTGCATAGTGGAAGATAGTCGTAATATTCCATTGCACCAAAACTTGTAAAGTTTGTGCGTACGCGTTCATTCCTAGGAATGTATGTATCTATAATTACACATGCATGCATGCATGCATGAAGTATACATTAACTTCATGCTGGCACACGCCTTGGTGTAAACCTGCTCGCGCATACAAATTTACGTACAATATGAAAGTGTAAATATGCACATGCACTTATACTTATAAAACAGCATGTGAATGTATTGTAAAAGTTAATTTAAATGTTCAATCCACTAGTCTTGCTTAAATAACACGCATACGGATATTTGGGCATGAATCTTTAGTCTCGGCTCCCATCAACGCACCATCCTGAAATGTAAAATCAGCCGAAGCCTGAAATTTTGAAGGTCAAATGATCACTTTAATCTTTCGTGAAAATAAAATTAGGGAGTACTCTAAAACTGAGCATAGCACCTGCACCTGTCAGTTGTCCTCGGCACTTCCCCTAGCAACAGCTGGTCACGGTTCAAAATTTTAAACTGATCGGATGAGCAGCTTTGAAATTATGAAAGCTGACATTAGATAACGCACAATGACGGTAACCCTACTAGGGCACCACACCATGCAATATTTTAAGGAAGGTTACTCGGCAGGTGAAATTTTAACCAATTCAAAAATTTATTTTAAAATTCTTTGGAAAAAAAAAGTCCATTGATAAATTCTAATTGTTTATAGCCTTGACAAATTTGACAACACGAAAGTGAAACTATTCTGGCCATGAGATGAATTAATCACACAGGCTTATTCCCACCAAGGCAGGGTGGCCCGAAAAAAACTTTCACCATCATTCACTCCATCACTGTCTTGCCAGAAGGGTGCTTTACACTACAGTTTTTAAACTGCAACATTAACACCCCTCCTTCAGAGTGCAGGCACTGTACTTCCCATCTCCAGGACTAGTCCGGCCTGCCGGTTTCCCTGAACCCCTGCATAAATGTTACTTTGCTCACACTCCAACAGCATGTAAAGTATTAAAAACCACTTGTCTCCATTCACTCCTATCAAACACGCTCGCGCATGCCTGCTGGAAGTCAAAGCCCCTCTCGCGCACAACCTCATTTACCCCCTCCCTCCAACCTTTCCTAGGCCGACCCCTACCCTGCCTTCCACTACAGACTGATACTCTCGAAGTCAGTTTCGCTCCATTCTCTCTACTTGTCCGAACCACCTCAACTCTTCCTCAGCCCTGTGGACAACAGTTTTGGTAATCCCGCACCTCCTCCTAACTTCCAAACTACGAATTCTCTGCATTATATTCACACCACACATTGCCCTCAGACATGACATCTCCACTGCCTCCAGCCTTCTCCTCGCTGCAACATTCATCACCCATGCTTCACACCCATATAAGAGCGTTGGTAAAACTATACTCTCATATATTCCCCTCTTGTCCTCCAAGGACAAAGTTCTTTGTCTCCAGAGACTCCTAAGTGCACCACTCGCCCTTTTCCCCTCATCAATTCTGATTCACCTAGTCTTTCAGCGACCCATCCGCTGACACTTCCACTCCCAAATACCTGAATACATTCACCTTCTCCATACTCTCTCCCTCCAATCTGATATCCAATCTTTCATCACCTAATCTTTTTATCCTCATTACCTTACTCTTTCCTGTATTCACTTTTAATTTTCTTTTGCACACCCTACCAAATTCATCCACCAACCTCTGCAGCTTCTCTTCAGAATCTCCCAAGAGCAGTCTCATCAGCAAAGAGCAACTGTGACATCTCCCACTTTGTGATTCTTTATCTTTTAACTCTCGCCTCTTGCCAAGACCCTCGCATTTACTTCTCTTACAACCCCATCTATAAATATATTAAACAACCACGGTGACATCACACATCCTTGTCTAAGGCCTACTTTTACTGGGAAATAATTTCCCTCTTTCCTACATACTCTAACTTGAGCCTCACTATCCTCGTAAAAGCTCTTCACTGCTTTCAGTAACCTACCTCCTACACCATACACCTGCCACATTGGCCCCCCCCCCCTATCCACCCTATCATACGCCTTTTCCAAATCCATAAATGCCACAAAGACCTTTAGCCTTGTCTAAATACTACTGTCCACTTATGTTTCACTGTAAACACCTGGTCCACACATCCCTTTTCTAAAGCCTCCTTGTTCATCTGCTATCATATTCTCTTACTCTTAATTCTTTCAATAATAACTCTACCATACAATTTACCAGGTATACTCAACAGACTTATCCCCCTATAATTTTTGCACTCTTTTTGTCCCCTTTGCCTTTATACAAAGGAACTATGCATGCTCTCTGCCAATCCCTAGGTACCTTACCCTTTTCCATACATTTATTAAATAATTGCACCAACCACTCCAAAACTATATCCCCACCTGCTTTTAACATTTCTATCTTTATCCCATCAATCCCCGCTGCCTTACCCCCTTTCATTTTACCTACTACCTCACGAACTTCCCCCACACTCTCAACTGGCTCTTCCTCACTCAAAGATGTTATTCCTCCTTGCCCTATACACGGTCACACCTTCCCAATCTTCATCAACATTTAACAATTCCTCAAAATATTCCCTCCATCTTCCCAATACCTCTAACTCTCCCTTTAATAACTCTCCTCTCCTATTTTTAACCGACAAATCCATTTGATCTCTAGGCTTCCTTAACTTGTTAATCTCACTCCAAAACCTTATTTTCAACAAAATTTGTTTATCTCGCCCACTTTCTCGTTTGCTCTTTTTACATTGCTTCACTCTTAACCTTTTTCTCCATATACTCTTCCCTCCTTGCATCACTTCTTTGTAAAAACTTCATATGCTAACTTTTTCTCCCTTACTACTCTTTACATCATTCCACCAATCGCTCTTCCTTCCCGCACCCACTTTCCTGTAACCACAAACTTCTGCTGAACACTCTAACACGACATTTTTAAACCTATCCCATACCTCTTCGACCCCATTTCCTATGCTCTTTAGCCCATCTATCCTCCAGTAGCTGTTTATCTTACCCTAACTGCCTCCTCTTTATTTTATAAACCTTCACCTCCCTTCCCTGATGCTTCTATTCTCCTTTTATCCCATCTACCTTTTACTGTGTAGCTACAACTAGAAAGTGGTCTGATATGTTGCCCCTATATCAACATGTACATCCTGAAGTCTACTAAAGTCTTTTATCTACCAATACATAATCCAACAGACTACTGTCATTTCGCCCTACATCATATCTTTTATACTTATCCTCTTTTTCTTAATGTATTACCTATAACTAAACACCTTTCTATACAAAGTTCAAAGGGCTCCCATTATCATTTACACCTGGCACCCCAAACTTGCCTACCACACCCTCTAAAAGTTTCTCCTACTTGAATTACCCATGCAGTATTAGTCCTTAATAAAGTACTAGTCTTAAATTTTATTACTCGACAGTTTAACTTTCCGCCCCTAAAGTGGGCAAAACGGTACATAGCCACTTCAATTTCACTCTCCGTTATCTAATTAGCAAGTATACGCATTAGTCTGTAGTAATGTTTACGATCCAGTTTATGACCAGCATGAAAAATTTTACTCTTTTGCAGGTAAAGGAGCTTGGTGTGAAGAAATAGTTGTGCCAAAAACTACGTACACTAGTGGCATAGTGGAACTGACGGGTCAACTGCACGGGACACACTTCAACCACACTGCCCCTCTCAGCCTTAGACCCATTTCCCCGATGATTTTCATTCAAACTGACAAGTCCCTCTACCTACCAGGCCAGATAGTTCAGTTCAGAATTCTCACACTGTCCGGGCCTTACATGCACATCTCTACCCAAAAGGTAAGAAAGTAAACACTACGTGTACTTCCTATTGTTAGAATTTTATAGCATTTTTCTCTAATTAAAATGCCAAAACCAGAAAATTGCTGTTATTTAAAAGCTTTCACTTTTTGACTAATATCTAACTCGTATCTAACTTGTGATCACTGCATTTGACTACTACAGATACTGGTATCGCCATCGTAAATGTACAAATTTCCGTTTTAAGAGCACGAAGGGCCGGAAGTCTAAATTTAGATTTAATGAATGGGTTCCCTGAAATGACTGGAACTTTTGCTTTTTTTTTTTTTTTTTTTTTTTTTTTTTTTTTTTTTTTGTAAAAATTATAACTTTTGTTCCTTTATCAATTAGTGATAGGCATTAATTATCTTAATGCCTATCACTAATTGATTTTAGTAAAACTTAATTTTTTTTTAAGACTTGTATAAAAGACTTGGCCTATTAAAGATTTAACGTTACTTACCTGGAGTTTATTTGGAGAGGGTTTCGGGGGTCGACGCCCCCGCTGCTCGGTCCGAGACTAGGCCTCATGGTGGATCAGGGTCTGATCATCCAGGCTGTTACTACTGGCCGCACGCAAGCTGACGTACGAACCATAGCCCGGTAGATCAGGTACCGACTAGGTGCCTGTCTAGTGCCTTCTTGAACAGCCAGGGGTCTATTGGTAATCCCCCTTGTGTATGCTGGGAGGAGGTTGAAGTCTTGTGGCCACGGACACTTAGTGTTCTATTTGCTTGTGGCGCCCCTGCTTTTCATCGGGAAAATGTTTCATCTCCTGCCATCTTTCGCTTTCATGGAGATTTTCGTGTGTAGGTTTGGTACCAATACTACCCCCATCCCAAAGACATTCAAAGTGTATCTTTCGCCTGCGTTCCGGGGAATACAGATAAAGGACCTTCAACAGTTCCCAGTAATTTAGGTGTATTATCGTACTTGTGTGCCGCGAAAGTTTTGTACTCTAGGTCTGTAATGCCTGGATAGTGGTGCATACAGCGCCAACTTTAACACAAATTATATACACTACTAATTTGCATTAGTCTTAAATTTAAGTCTTCAGGCTTCACTGTTCTGCATTACCCTCTCCTCACCATTGTCCAGCAGTAGTCTGCAGTCGAAGATTAACCTGTAAAAAAAATCTACTTTAAGTTTTCAAGTGTTGAAAAAACTTATATAAAAGTTTGGACAGTTTACGGGTTAAGGTTTGATATTCTCCCTTATTGGTTAAATCATTCCCTAAGGGTTCTGTTTAAGTCCGTAAATTTTGGACTAGCCTCTTAATTTGAATTCAGGATTCAAAAAAAAAAAATTTACCTTGACCAGTGTAAGCTTTCACCTCGAATCCTGGCCGCCTTTTAGTCTACGTATATATTCATTAAATGCTCACTGCTGAATGACTAGTTTTTATAGGATTAGCATTTTTTTCTTTCTCATATTTACTATGAATCTTGCCCATTGTGGCAAATCTTAGATTATCATATTTTGTCCACTGTAATATCTGATTGCTAACCAGATCCACATGTTCTGCTGCTCTGCCTGTCCTTTATTAAATTTAGTAAATACCATCCACTTTGTACTTTGTGCATTAGTGAAGGGCGAAAGATTGACTTTATCCAGCCTCCCTCTGGGGAAAATTATAAAAAGTGCTAAACAGACAAGGGTCGTGCAATCATCTGGGAAAGCTCATCTTAGACGTGGGAAACTTTAAACTGGATTTACTGACTAGACCTACATGGTAAAAAAAATTCCCCCCCTCCCCCCCCCCCATTTGCGTATGTTTGCTTTTGGCCCAATGTCTAAGTTTTTCCTACCAAAGGCTAGACCTTTTAGACAAACGAGACTACAATGCATGACCTCGGTATTTAGCTCTAACAATTAACTTATTTGCAGTACTAAGGTGACCTGTAATTCCCCAAAGGTGGAACTTAAACCACCTAGTAACATGTCTGGTAGCTGCTGGACATCTTTTCAGTTGACAGCTGTGCCATACTAGTAGTGCTTCTAACATTTCAAATAAGACTCTTGCAGTTAATAAACCATACCACGGGCGGCAGTTAATTATGTAAGAGCAATCGTGGAGCCTTTGTATGGCTGACCCTACAAGACTGGACTGAAGACTCCAGGCTGAAGGACTGAGTACCTCGCTCTTCTCCATACAACTTTCCGATCTGTATTGGCGAGAAGTTTCTTCAATAAAGATTCCCATGTTGCACAAATGTCTGCAATACAGAAAATATCCTACACACCCTTCCCTCTTAAGTCAAAGCCTGGTATTTCCGGCAGACCATGGGCTTGCGTCCCTTTATCAAAAATCCTTTTTCGAATGTTGCTGGAGGCTCTGGCACACAATTCGCTTGTTGCCAGGTGCTCCAGGCCCTTTACCTGTGTATATATGATGCTGACGAACAATTTAATTTTCCAGTGACTTTCGCTTTGCTACTTCACTAAGATAACTTAAAGGAGAAACGCTGCAGTACGCCTGTTGGCCCATACTAGTCAGGTCCTTCACAAATCTAACCCACTAACAGAATAAGTACTTTATTGTAGATGAATGGTACTAAGTACTACCCAAGCAACAAGTCTCATTGTATTTACTCACGTGAAAGTTCCACTAGTTTCGATAATTTTTGATTTTTTTTTAATTTAAATTTTTAGTTAAAGTATTCCATCTTTTTTTCTTGGATGAATGCCTTTCTGGGGAAAGGGACTAAAATAGAGGCTAAGAGTACATGGTGCTCGCCTGATGTGCCTTTTCTGTCCAGTAGCAGGTGTACGGTTAGCTTTTCGGAAAAAATCCTACTTTTTGGACGTGTTCGCCCCCTATTTAATCAGGATGTTTAATCAGCAATGTTTAAGCCGCCACTTTGCAGGTACCACTACCAATATGGAAGACTCGTGGCATAAACTTGTACAAGTTTGGTAGTTTAAACTGCAGTTAGGGTATTTTTCTTTTACTTTGAGATTATCCAAGTCTCATCAGTGCTCTTCCGTTGCCTTCTGGTAAGGCACGGTCTAAATACTTTACACTGACACGGTATGCGTAGTTATTTAATTTTTGGCTGCCTTAGTACCAGATTAAAAGCAGCAATAAATAACAAAAAGGCACAATACCGTGACTGGAACGATACACACACACACACACACACACACACACACACACACACACACACACACACACACACACACACACCCCCCACCCACACACCCCCACCCACCCCCCCCCGCACATAAGAGAAGCTTACGACGTTTCGGTCCGACTTGGACCATTGACAGTCACTCAATGGTCCAAGTCGGACCGAAACGTCGTCGTAAGCTTCTCTTTTATGTGCGGGTTATTTGTGTAAAAGCAGCAATGACTAACCAGTGAGGGGGAGGGGGAAAGGATGAAAAATCTACTAGTTTAAATGCTCTGCCGAGAAAAATAAATTAAACCAAAATTATCTTAATCTAACATTTCCGCAGTACTCTCTCGTGTGGATAACTACTCCCTCTGATACCCGCGTAGCACAGTGGCTCAACGTTGACAATTGTAATGGTTTGGTCCATCTCTCGTTTCAACTGGCTGATGAACTTGAGCAGGTACAGTACCCTAGTCTAATTAATCTAAATTATCTTTAGCATTAGTCTTAAAACAAATTAAGTGAATTGCCACCTCTTTTGTAGGGTACATACACAATCCACGTAGAATCTACCGAGAGCAAGAGGACGATGACTTTTAAAGTAGAACAGTACGTTCTGCCACGCTTTGAAGTGACGGTGATGGCCACAAAATACGTTCTGATCACGGATAACCACTTTACAATTAACGTCTGTGCAAGGTAGGACACTGACTTAGTTAATGCAGTGTTAATAAATAAAGCTGGCGCTCATGGCTTTTTTTTTTTTTTCCCAGATACACGTTTGGTCAACCAGTGAACGGCACGGCGAGGGTAGAGGTGAACAATGGGCAAAGTAGACAATGCTTATCAAACGTCACCAAGGAAAACACTGTTAGTCTGACCATAAAATGTCTTCCCATTTTTACATGCAGAAACATTTTTAATTTATTTTAAAATGTATACTGGCAACCCTAGTTGAATTACCTTACACTCCCATTTTAAACTAATACCTTGTAAATTAACTCTAACCTCCCCCCCCCCCTTTTTTTTTAATTCGTTTTGGGAAAATGCACCAAAATATACAGGTCTAGTGTATAGACAGCATAATTTCATTACCCAAATAAAGCAAGCAAACTAAAACTGGTTAAAACGTGGCTCTTTCCGTGAGGAGTTAAACTATCGCCATAAATTGAGGAATTCTTTAAAATGCATAACTATTTAAGCCAAAACTAAACTGGGCTTCCTTGCTTCCATTGTAAGAGTTTAAGTTAATGACTGCAGATACTAAGTGTCAGCGACGGTTCTTTTGCGATGGGCTACTTACCGAGTAACATCTGCCTTTATAGAGGTGGTGCCAGTTTCGAGTAACAGTTTTAGGTATGAATACTTCGCAATCACTATTGCTGCACTTCAAATTCCAGGAAACTCGCAAGTCTTTCTTGCAGCAAAACTACCGCAGCAGTTAGCAGTATTGTACCATCTAAATAGTCTTAGTTTACATAAATTATAGTAAATTGTTTAACATACTGTATTGGACCTCTTTTAGTCTATTTTTCCAGACGTGCATCAAAATCCCCCCCCCCCCCCGGTCAGAATGTAAAGGCTGATGGATATTCACTCTTGTAATCTTCAATACATTGAAGCTATTAGCATATTTAAAATGCATGCTTACTGTACACTTAACATTCCCCTCGAATGTTAAATTGAGGGGAAGAGTATGCCTCTATAAATTTAATGTTTCACCTGGTACAGATATTTGAGTGCCAAGATTTCGTGTTCAGTGCGGCTGAATTGCAAGTAATAGACTGCCAGGTGTACACTCTACTAGCAGTGGCCAGGGTCACTGAGGAAGGCACTGGGGTGGAGCTCTCAGGCGAGGCAGTCATAAGTGTCTTCCACACTGAAGTAACTTTCAGATCTGTGAATGAGGATACATACATGAAGCATTACCTTCCATACACCGTCCAGGCAAGTCGCTTTGTCATCAGTTTTTCTTTAAACAAAACTGGCCGCTGAACACTTCTAATTAACCAAAATATTGAAGGCTGTATTCTCCGCTGATCTCGAGAGCTTTCCCAAACTATATAAAGTACGAATTTTGCGAGATCTTTGAAAGTAAAAGTAACACTTAAGCTTAGACAATGTATTTAGTTCATCTCTTCAGGTAAGAGCAGAGCTACCAGACAAATCTGCTGCCTCAGGGGTAGCAGTGGAGCTGTGTGCTTCAAACAAGTGTACAGTGATGGTGGTTCCTGAAGATGGTTTGTTAACAATAGTCCTCCCGTCATACTCGACCAAAAGGCTCTCGGTAAGTACAGCATTTTAAAACTCCTAGTCTCCCAGATAGTAACTAACCCCCCCTTCCCCCGAATGTATGGTGTAGAAATATACCTAGTTGGATGAATCTTATTGTGGCTAGCTGGTCTAGTGGTTAGCGCGACGGGCTGGAGTTTTGAGACTCTATGACCGCGGGTTCAATCCCGGCCGGGGGTATGGTATACAATTAAAGTACGCAGACGAAAAAAACGGAAACATGACCTCCCTCACCCGTGGTTGCAACCTCAACCTCCTGAACCTCTCCCAGATAGATGCCCAATCGTAAATTGGGTAGAGCTCCTCTCCCCCCCCCCCCACCTGCGCCTCAAGCCTCCCCATCGCACTTTGTAAAACCCTCACCCTAACCTTCCTTTAGTCTCGAACCAAAGCCATCACCCGTAACGCTGCCTCACACTCCCTTAGATCCTCCCCTCTGTACAAACCCCGGAACAGCTCATGAACCTGCCTTTATTAATTCCTGTTCACCATTTATATACACCAGTCATATCCCCCCTAATTCTACGCCTTTCTAGAGTGTATATTCAGGGTCCTCGGTCGATAATCATAGGGAAGATTTGATACGTAGGATCAACTTTGTCATCCTCCTTTATAAGTTTTCCAGTGCATTTATATCCATTCTGTAACGGTGACCAGAACTGTGCAGCAAAATCTAATGAGGCCTGCGGACTTCTATTATTTATACTTATATGAAGCCAACGATTTAGTTTTATTGCGAACACTTTTGCGCTCTTGGTTTCAGATTACTACTAACACTCTTACTTTCGCAATCCTTAATATTAAGATCTATATTGTTTGGCATGGTTATTTTCCTGTCCAACATTTAGAACTTTGAATTTGTCTATTAAACTGCATCTGCCACGTCTCCCACCACTGCATCAGTTTATTCAAATCCTCCTGGAGTGCTGTCCTCGTTAGAATGAATTGGAAAGTCTATTTTGGTGTCTGCAAATTCCCCCCCCCTAGTCTTTTATGTAAATTGTGAACAAGGGGCCCAACACTGACCCCTGAGGAACACCGCTTGTGACTTCCCCTCATTCTGATTTCTCCCCTTTATGCAAACTCTGCTGCCTATTTGTCAACCGTGCCTCTACCCAGGAAAAATTTCTATTCCGTGTGCCTCGGGTTTCCCCCAAGAGCCTCTTGTGTGGAACTATAGAAAGCCTTAAGTCCATATACATTATCGTTCAATACCATGATTTACCTCTTCAAATACCTTGGTGAAAATAAATTCCTAAGACGAACGCCCCTTCGTAAAACCGTGCCGAGATTAATTAATAAATTTCAACCTTTAAGGTTGAGCAATGTATTTTTAGCTAAAAATATTTTGAATAAATCTTAATGAACTGAACTTTTTTTAAAGGTACTTTGGCAAATATTTAACTGATGCTGCTCCGTCTCCCTTAAAACTGAAGAATTTAGATGACCTACAAAAGAACTATATACATATCCCCTCAATGAAGCATCCTTGATGCTGCTGAGGGGCTCTTGATATAGGGAATTGGATCTGTGCTCCAGTTCCTTGAATTAAACCTGAATACCTTCTACAGGCGCTGTATAATCCTACGGGTTTAGCGCTTTCCCCTTGATTATAATGTACCTATTTTAAACGATCACTTTTTAGTAGCCTTAATTGTTATTGATCTGAAAGGTGTGCAGGCGTTGGAAAAGCTTGCACAAAAGTTTTATTAACGTTTTACCTCGTACCCCTCGATGTAATTATCCAGATGAAAGCTTTGGACTGTCGTGCCGGCATGGATGAAGGCACCTTCTACAAGGCCATTGAACATTACTACTCTCCTTCGAACTCTTCCCTTCTAATCAGTGCACCAGATGGTCAATTGCCCTGTGCTGATGGTCATCCTAGGCAACATATGCTCACACTGTGGTATTCTGCATCCCAGCCTACAGCAGAAATCCACCTACAGGCAAGGCTCCCCCCCCCCCCTTATTTTTAAATTATGAATGTAGTGGTACACATCCACAATTTATTACTGCTTTTGATATAGAACTAAGAGATAATGGACCATTACCCATAGCTTTATTTTTCTAGATAATTAGCTTTTTCCAGCCATGGTATTTATTAAGATTGTGTGGACAGGTGGTATCGCGTGGACAGATCCAATACTGGCAAGTTAAAGAATACCATCTAGTGGAAGAGGAGCTGCCTGTTAGAATGGAGAGCCTCGTGGATGATCTTCCCCATCCCCCAAGCGAGATTATAAGAGGCTTCCTAAGTATTGCTATTGATCTACCTCCAATGGTTTCTCCAACTGCCATGGTTAGCCATCGTACAAAACTGTTTACTATGGCCGTGAGAATATTCATGAACCAGTAACTCTTATTCCCAATGGGTACGGCCAAGAATGTTTTCCTATCAGCTTAAAATATTTTACTGAAACTTCTACCTGTCCCTTAAACAGTCTGAACTACAATTTTTAATGGATTAATCTTTCAAGTTAAGGCTTTATGTATAAATCTGCCAACACAAGATCAGTCTGATAATAGGACAATGCCCCTTCAGGTCTGCATAAATTATGGAGCTAGTGTACTGGAAGGTTCATGGTATTCGGGATTAATTTATCTCCCTCAAATTTGCAAATACCACTTCATACCTTTGTAACTTGTCATGATTGTGACCAGACTTACCTGGAGTTCATTACCTTTGTAAATTGTGAGTTCATTGCCTCTGTAACTTGCTCAGCTATCAAAACTTTGGAGTCCAGTCCCTGGACCAATTGTGTACCTCTGTAATCTTTTGACTACCGCCCACAGGATGGGTATGGGGTGCATAATAAACATTAAACTAACTAACCAGTTATCACGCTTAACTAGTATTAAATTTTGCTCTGAAAAAAAAAAATAAGACTAATGGTTTAGTTAAATTCATAATTCTTGCAGTTGAACGTTTTACCAAAAAAAAAAATTAGCTTCATAACGTACACCTTGTGCTAAGGTCTAGCATTAAACTATTTTCTAAAAATCCAAGTATGGCGATTACTTAACTAGAAAGATACATCCATATAGACAGGCTTTAACTTCCACGCCATTTTTTTAGTTGTATTAACGGTACTGTGATTAAAACCAAATGCAGCTAGTGAAAGTTGACTTGTCTTTTGTAATTGTGCAGGTGATAGCTTGGTACACAAGGATGGACGGAGAAGTGGTTTCTGACGCACGGGAACTCAAAATTGAAAAATGTTTGGCTTACCCTGTCGCTCTGACTTGGCAGGTGCCACAAGTTCAACCCGGTGACCTCACAATGTTTACTCTATCCGCTGAACCTAATTCTTTGTGCAGTCTGGGTGAGTTCGGTGCCCCATCAATATAACTTTTAAGTTAATGTACACAGTACTAGTGAGCCAAAATATATCTAGATTTAATTAAATTGTTTACGTGCTGCTAATTTAATTTTAACTATTTTCAGCTAAATGAAGTTTTCATGTGAAAAGGTTTAATGCTTTTTCTACAGGTGTTGTAGACAAAAGCACCGAACTGCTGTCGGATGCACCAGACCCCATCACATCGGATACATTATTTAGCTACGTTGAAAACTTCAAAATATATCCTTGGCTCAACAGCCAAGTTAATGACTACGAATATTGTAGGAAACAATTGGAAGGAACGTCTTACCTTCCTACGAAAGGTAATTTTTAGTCGGTTTAAACAGGTGTGGCATGTCTTGCTTAAATAAACTATCATGCTGGCTAAAATTATTTGAGCAGAGGCCCCCCTCCCGAACTATAGATAAGTCGCTGGTGCGCTACTTTCACACAATCCTTAACTAATCTGAGGTAGAATTAGTGGCTTTGGAGAATACAGAATCTTTCACTGATAGATTATGTAAATACTATGGGTGTTGGCATGTTTAAGGATTTTTTTTCCTTTGGTATTAAATTTGAGGGCTTGCACAATGAAATAGCTAGTAATTAATGTATAAAACACAAAGGGCAAAGGAGTGATAATGGATGAAGACTAGACCTTGAAGTACCTAGTAAAGAAAGTTGGATTGTCACTATAATGTACTATAATTTTTTCACGAGCCTTGTATTCTAGGTCATGTACAGATCTTCAGTCAGGACTCTCAACAGTCTGCTGTTTGCAGAAAGTTTTCTGATGAATAATTAATCTCTAATTTTTAGTACCCGTTTGCTTGTTAATGTATTGATAAAAAAAAAAATTCCAACTTAGATTACAGAGCAAGTTTGGTAAAAAAGAAAAGTTCATTGGTAACAGAATGAGCCAGATTAGCTTGGTTTGCATCACTGATCTTAAGTTCTAGATTCTAAAGATGTTAGTTCTAATACCTAAGAATTAAATGTTTTGTGTACCTTGTTGCTTCCCATCAATAAGTGGAAAATTTCTTCCAGATGGAGAAGAGAATTTATTTCCGCGGTTTCCATTCCCAGTCTACTATACAAATTATGTGGATGCCCTTAAGATGTTCGATGTAAGTATTTAAAGATTCAAGTTTAATATAAAAAGGCATAATCGGCTCATCAGTCACTGAAGTTATTACCATAATTTATTTCAGGAATCTGGACTCTACGTCTTCACAGATTTGAAGATTGAAACAAGACCATGTGAAAAGGAAGGTATGTCTTTTTTCCATTAATGATTCATACCATTAACTGTGTTGGCGAAGTAGATTGCAAAATATTTAAAAATTTCAAAAATTTATCTAAAAAGCTTTATGCTTTTTAACTGCTCCCAACTTTGAAGAGTACATTTATGAAGCAATTTAAAATTTAAAGCAATAACTTGTATCTATAATCTAAACATTAAATTGTCGGTTCTTTAAATTTAATATCGTGATTGGTTGTCATTAAATTTAAATAGGTAATATTAAATGATCGCTAAGCTTATAGGTTCTCAATCCTGGGAATGGGAGATAGTTCTATGAAATATTCATTTAAAGCTCTTCCCTCCTTCCCCAGAATAAAAGAACCTCCTTTCAGGGAACGTAGACTAAATCATATCTAGCACACGAGATTAATACCAGATATGCATGACCTGAAATGTATCCAGATTATTGGTAATTGCATTATAACTAATGAATAAGCACTACACCCACAAGGATAATTATTGGTTGAAATTTGAAAATGTGAAACTACTTCGAAACTGATTAAATACCCCAATTTAAGTTGGAGTAACTTCCTATTTTTTTATTTTCTATAGCGCGACAGCCAATCAGGTTCTTCGCAGACGCTAGACCCGACGTGGCAGCAAACTTGTTAGCACAAACTAGCAAGTCCATCCAGGAGAGCAGCCAGGGCCCAGTTACTCCTAGAACAAACTTCCCAGAGACCTGGTTGTGGAGCCTTATCTTGCAACCGTCAGTATATATACAATCTTTGCTCTTCCCCCAAGTTTCTCTGCATTACATAAATTTCAGTACTCCATTGGTTACAAGTTGGTCACTAATGTATAAAACTGGTATAATTACAGGTTGTCGGGAGTGACTGAGCAGCATCTAAAAGTACCAGATACCATAACTGACTGGGTTGGTAAGGCAGTGTGTGTTCACCCTGAAAAAGGCGTGGGTATATCTCGAAACTCTTCCCTAGTCACCTTCACTCCTTTCTTCCTAGACCTCACACTGCCGCCTTCAGTCAAACGTGGAGAAATCCTCCCCGTGAAGATATCGCTTTTCAATTACCTGGATCGCCATTTGCCTGTATGTTTATGCTGAATCTCAATGCCAGAGTTTGCTTTTTTGTTCGTTGCGCTCTGGCTCTTAAATGAGGTAGTTGTAGCACGTGAAGTGGCAGTAGCCCATGCTTTCCCCCTACTCTTCCTTTAACACTGTAGTCTATGCTCTAAGGATAGAGGCTTCCTTTGAGAATGGCCCCCCCCCCCTCTCCCTTCCGATACTTTTAATTTGCTTGCCTAATTTAGAAAACCATCAACTGTGGCTTTCCCATGCCTTCCAAAATTGCCAGCTTTTAAGGCTCTCCCGTAATTGTAAGTTTTTTTTAAATTATTTTAAATTGATAATTTTAGTATGTTTAGCGTTTTAGTTTTGTTAATTGTTGCATACCTCTAAAGGGGGTACCGTTTTTAAGTACCTTACTTTTCCACCCCTTTCAGAAGTTTATCATAGCTCGTTCAGTTGGCTACAGATTTTAAACTTTTGCAGTAACAAGGTCTAAGTTCCTGGAGCACTCGGCATGTTCACGTGCACTAAGACCCAAGTTGTTGAAAGCTTTCAATTTTGGACTGCTGATAACTTTCAAAGTCCTCACTGAAGTAGGTTGAAACATTCGCAAGTCATTCAAATGTGTAGGTGCATAAATGAAACTTTTTCTGAAAGGCTTCAGTATTTAATGGCTGATGAATCTTGGGTCCAGAATATTACCTATTTTGGGTGAGCGGAAATCTTGGTAAGAACTTTGGAATCCATGCCATAACTGGAGAAAGTCTGATACTTCATAATTTCATCACTGTATCAGCAAGAATGAAAGGTTCTTGCTGCCGGTGGGTTGCATGTCCAACTTGATGCATTTTTCCAGTAGCTTAAGAAAAATTAGATTCGTTCTATAAGAATGCCCCATACATTACCAGGTACAGATTCTGAAATTAACTTTGAATCATCAGTCTGATTAATATACATGCCTTTGCTGTTGAGCTTGGTATGTACCATTGCTGGACCTTTATTAAAATGTTACTTTATGCCGTTAATTTAAATTTCAAAGCTTCAGAAAACGCATCTTCTGTTAATCTTCAAAACCTAAATGTTCCTTTATCTTAAGGAAATTTAAGATTCAAAAGTACTTGGAATAAAGTAAAAGTTATCTTTTGACTAGTTTAACGAGGGGGGGAAACTTCGTTTTCATAACTGTCAAACTACTTTATTTTCTCATCTTTTCTCATTATTTCATTGGCTTCAAGATTCGTGGTACTACTTGAATGCGTAGGTGTCTTATGCACACTGCTATATAGACCATTCTCAAATTGTTGATGGGTAGAGACTGGGCTTTGATAGCCTTCAGAATTTACACTTTTATCCACCTAGTTGATATATTTAATGGTATAGGTGGCCCCCCTCCCTTCCGTCTGAATGCTATAGTACTTTAGTACTTTACCACGTTTCATTATTTTTACCTTTATACTGTTAAGGGGCTAGTCAAAAAAATTTGCTTTAATACCGATTAGTCCTCTTGTAATTTTGAAAGAGGATATCCTTAGCATTGTTAGCTACAGGAGCTAGATAGTATCCCTCGAGGTCTAATTGAGAAAATTGGCTTTGCCCATTAAATCCATTAGGGCTCCTATGCCACGGGCGCTGTTTGACCTTATCCCCATCCCCTACGTCTTAGCGCTTTCCTCTAATTAAAAAATTTAAACTGTATAAAACCTAAATGGTTAATTTTCTTAGGAAGTGAATACAGTTTTCTGCTACGGCACATTTTGTTGTATTGTGCAATAGCTGGAAAATGTATTGGGTAGCTTTAAACTTACTACTGTTTATTTTCTATAAGGAAAGTGGCTTGGCTGTAGAAATTTAGTACCATTAATCAAAATAGCGTCTAAAGTCTAATTTGAATATTTGGTAATTTTCGTTGATCAAAGTAACTGTTCTTAGACTCCTAAAAGGTTGTGCTCAACAAACCAGTGTGCAAAATTTGCAAGTTGTGTACTAAGCTAGCACAGCTTCCTGTAAGTTTTTTTTTTTTTCTCTCTCTCAACTGGGAGAAAATAGATTTTGTCTACTGAGATTACCTTCAACCCTTCAAAGCTTTTTTTTCTCGGTAAAACTCCCCAGCAGCTTAAAGCTTAATGTACTTGCGTAGTTTATGGTAGTGGTTTTTGGCTTGACAACTATGAATAGGATCCAAGCTGTATAATCTTTTTAAACTTCATTAGTTTCAAAAATGCATTATAAACTCGTGCCTCACAATTCCTTGAAGCACAAGGTACTGGTGTTAGGTAATACGGGATACCTTTCAGCTCGTGCAACGACCGATGTAAACCTAGTTACAAATGTTAGTAAGAGTCCTGTCCTAAGCTATACTTGATTTTTTGTAAATATCCGTGCTACCAAATTTGCTGGCGACTTGGGTGTGTGTTTTTTTTTTTTTTTTTTTTTTTCTCTAATGCATGAACCATACGAAGTTTAAGCGGTGAAAAATTTTAATTGCAAAACGCCATTGGTGATGGTTAAAATTTAATGTCTACAGTATGATTTATAATAATCTTTAGGTGACTGTGACACTGCAGGAAAGTTCAGACTACAAAATCCTGGAACCAATTAACTATGGATTACCTGGACGAGTGACTGCCTGTGTGGCGGCGAAGGATAAAGTTGTAAACACTGTGAAGATAGACTTCCTTGTACTAGGTGATGTAAACATCACCGTGTTTGCTTCTGTAGACCACGCCAGTGTTCTGCCTTGTGGAGGACAACTTAACACCAGTAGAAGGTAATGAGAGAATAATACTACTTAAGCAAATTTGACACTTGCTGAACTCGTGATAACTATATATTTTTTTTTTTTTCCAGTGATGCTTTAATTAAGGCCATGAAAGTAGAAGCAGAGGGCTTTCCAAAAGAAAAGACTTGGAATAAATACGCCTGTCCAAAAGGTTGGTGAGACTACTGGCTCTTTAATTTTTTTAAATCTTCTAAAAAGTAAATCTTAATCTTCAATTTGATCTTAAACTGGGTAGAAAGTGCAAATTGTGACTCATGAGCCAAGATAGTGGAACTAGGGCAAGTTTACCCCTCCACCCCCCCCTTTTTTTTTATTAATGGTGATCAGCGGTGGTGATTATTGGTGGTATTTTAACCAGCTTTAATAGTTAATGTGGTTAAAGAAATTCTTCATAGGTTTAGCTTGTTAGTGGGGAGGTGGCGGGGGTAAGTCACCCGAAGAACTTAGTGTCTGGCGAAGGGTGACTTGGCAGGCAATAGTAGTTGGTTCATTTCTCTCCCCCTCCCCCCCCTGATATTTTCAAATTCCTTCAATTATTCTCCCAAATATCTAGTAACATTGCTTCAGTGTGATTCCTATTTTTTTTTTTCCTCCCCCAGAGTTGGCCGCTGAAGATTCACTAGAACAGTGGGAAATAGCTCCACCATCAGTTACTGTCCCAGGTTCGGAAAGAGCCTGGGTATCTGTAGTAGGAGACCTCTTAGGTCAAACACTAGAGGTGACTATTTCTGTATAAAGATTTTTCATAGTAACTTAAATGAAGTATTTGAGAGTTAAGCTCATAAATACTTCTCGCAAAGGGTTTAACTCTTCCCTCCTTACCAAAGGCGAAAGTTTAAATAGTTAGTCTTACTGGTAAAAAAAAAAATTGTGCCGCCAATCTCTTGAGCTAGTTTCCTAGTTGGAGGATTTTCACGGTACACAAGTACGATAGAGAACTTAAATTACTGATAAGTTGAAGTCCGTCGATTTATTCCCTGGAACGCAAGCGAGAAAGATGCATAATATATTTGAAAATCCTAGAGGGAGGAGTACTAAACTTGTACACGGAAATCACTTCTTACTAAAGCAAGATGCCAGGAAATGCAAGATTTCCCTAACGGAAAACTGAGGGAGGGGGGGGGGGGGCGCCACGTGTACACTGATCATAAAAGTGTCGGGGGCCCCAAGACTAACTGCCTCCCAGCATACGCGAGGGGGATTACCATACTCTTGGCTGTCTTCAAGAAGGCACTGGCCAGGCACCTACAGTAAATGCCTGATCAGCCTGGCTGTGGTTTATAGGTCAGTTTACCTCTTCGAGGGGGGGCTCCTTGGCGTGGTGAAGTCTCTTGGTCTGAGGAATTAGACCTGTCGGTCTTCTTCCTCAGAGCGAACCTAATTACCCCCCAATCTCGCCTCCCCTATCCCATCCTCCCCTTTCCTCCTCCTCCTCCCCCACCCCTCCCTTTTGCCCTTCCTCTTTTCGGCCTTTGGGATTTCTCCCACAGGCACGCTAGTTCCTAGGTAGGGGAAAGGATACCGGGGTCCATCCCATTCCGTCGAGGTTCTTGGCGGTGGCGTAGTTTGCCGTGAATCTGGATCGCCTGGGGATGTCCCGATCCCTCTCCGGTATCCCGGAGTAGCTTTGGGTGTCTTTCGGGCGACTGGTGTATCTCTGGAAGCCACCTTTCGGATTCCGGGGGTGGTGGCCGAAGGAGGTATGCTTTGTGGCGGATATCCGGCCGCCCTCTTTTGTCCACCGAGGTAGCTCGGCAGATGTGAGGTTGCTATCCCGGATTGTTAGTTTACTAGCATGATGGGTAGGGTATGGCACGGGTTCCATGCTGCATCTGCGCTACTTGCGGTACTGAGGTCCTCTTGGGTGCGGAGGGAGATTTCTGGCCCTTTCATTCCTCCTAGGAACTATCCCTCCCCGGTCCCCCTTTTTTCTTTATTTTCTTTTTGTTTTTAAGAAAAAAAAGAAAGTAACCTAACCATGGCAGCCCTAGTCCATGAACCTCCTACCCCCGGGCCCCTTCTTGATACCGCACCCCGTTCTGACCCCGCCTCATCTTTGGACCACTCTTCAGACACTCCTCATGCCTCTGTACCTCTTGCCGGTGCCGTTTCCACACCTGCTTCAGGTACTGAGGCCTCGACTGACTCCTTCGATTTATTGGACCTTCACTCTCCTCTGACTATGCTTCCGGCCTCTCCCTCTACGGTGCGGCAATTTTCAAATCGCCGACCTCTTCAAGGGGGGCTCCTTGGCGTGGTGAAGAGGCTCTTGGTCTGAGGAATTAGACCTATCGGTCTTCTTCCTCAGACCGAACCTAATTACCCCCCAATCTCCCCTCCCCTATCCCATCCTCCCCATCCTCCCCTTTTTCCTTTCCTCCTCCTCCTCCCCACTCCTCCCTTTTGCCCTTCCTCTTTTTGTCCTTTGGGATTTCTCCCACAGGCGTGCTAGTTCCTAGGTAGGAGAAAGGACACCGGGGTCCATCCCATTCCGTTGAGGTTTCTTGGCGGTGGCGTAGTTTGCCGTGGAATCTGGATTGCCTAGGGATGTCCCGATCCCTCTCCGGTATCCCGGAGTAGCTTTGGGTGTCTTTTGGGCGACGGGTGTAGCTCTGGAAGCCACCTTTCGGATTCCGGGGGTGGTGGCTGAAGGAGGTATGCTTTGTGGCGGATATCCGGCCGCCCTCTCTTTTGTCCACCGAGGTAGCTCGGCAGATGTGAGGTTGCTATCCCAGATTGCTGGTTTACTGGCATGAAGGGTAGGGTATGGCACGGGTTCCATGCTGCATCTGCGCTACTAGCGGTGTCGAGTCCTCTTGGGCGCGGAGGGAGATTTCTGGCCCTTTCATCCCTCCTAGGAACTATCCCTCCCCGGTCCCCCCTTTTTTTTTTCTTTTTTTATTTTTATTTTCTTTTCTTCTTTCTTTTTTTTTCTTAAAAACAAAAAGAAAGAAGTAACCTAACCATGGCAGCCCTAGTCCATGAACCTGGTACCCCCGGGCCCCTTCTTGATACCGCACCCCGTTCTGACCCCGCCTCGTCTTTGGACCACTCTTCGGACTTTTCCTCATGCCTCTGTACCTATTGCCGGTGCTGTTTCTTCACCCGCTTCAGGTACTGAGGCCTCGACTGACTCCTTCGATTTATCAGACCTTCGCTCTCCTCTGACTATGCTTCCGGCCTCTCCCTCTACGGTGCGGCAATTTTCAAATCGCCGACCCGTTCCACGTCGGACCAACTCTGGTCCCACGCCTAAACGTCAACGACAATTACCTGCTGATGATACTTCTCCACCTTCACCTTCTCGTTCTTCTCAGAAACGATCGACACGTCCTTCACTACCTTTCCACGCTCAGTTTCAGACTGAACAGTGGACTAAATTCTTCACTTTACGACCAACTTCCTCTACTGCCTATCTTTCTGACCATAGTATTGGCAAGGCACTCCTACGCCATGTTGGTAAAAGATATTTCTTTTCATGCTCTTAAGAGCGGTACGCGCATCATTACCGTACAGAATGCTACCCAGGCTCGTGAGCTCTCTCGTCTTACCCATATAGATACTGTTCCTGTCACCCTTGAAAAACATCATTCCCTCAATTCTTGTAGTGGTACCGTTATTCTGCCCCATACCATAGTTCAACAAAATTTCCAGACATGTGGCACCGACATTCTAGAACAGCTGGAACTCCAAGATCTCCCAATCCTCAAGGTAGACACTTACGTTCTTCCTGCCCGTGGGCGGAGACGATACCCTAGCAATGTGGCTCGTTTAACTTTTGACAGCCGAGAACTCCCATCCTCCGTTTATATAGCAGGACATCGGTTACAAGTTCGAAAGGTGATCCCTACACCACAACAGTGTAGAAATTGCTGGCGATTTGGCCATCCAGCGAAATATTGCAGATCTATCGCCGAATGCCCAGTCTGTGGTGCCGATGACCATTCTAATACGTCTTGCAATCGATCTCCCTCTTGCCTTAACTGTCATGAGGCTCACCCTTCGTACTCTCGCCGTTGTCAGGTCTATTTAAACGAGCGGGAAATCCGTTACCTCAAAGAGACAGAAGGTCTCCCTTATTGCCATGGCAGTTTCTCATCTCCGCCTCCAAGGGAGACTCCCACGTGTTTCTTATTCCCGTGTTTCAAAACGTCCCCCCACTTCTGGTATCCCATCTTCTACACCCACCTCTGTGGTTACCTCTCCCATAATCACTCCTGTATCTAATCCTTTTGCTGTCCTCGGCTCAGACGTCCCTACTTCAACGCCTCAGTCTAATCTCGCTTCTTCGAGTTCTCTCTTACAAGCCTCAGTATCGACGAGACCTCGTACGACACCTCTTCCCAATCGTCCCTCTACTTCTCAAAAGTCAAAAAAAGGTCCGGTAACACCTCCTACCCATCTTCCACCTCCTCATTTTACCCTCCCTGTCTCTGTCCCTAGTTCTTCCCCTCTCACTGGCTCGGTTACAAGTGCAGAGGTTCACCCTCCTCCTCGTAATGTACCTTCCTCCCCTGTTCCCTCCCAAGTTTCTTCCTCTTCTGCCACCTCCCAGGTTCCTGTCTCTTCTGTCCCCTGCCACGCTTCTCAGTTCCCTCCACCCTTTCGCCCCCCCCTACCTTGGTACAGTCCAATACAGTTCCAATCTTTACCTCATCCTCCCCCTACCATTCCCAATATTGTCTCCCATACGACATCTCTGAATTCCGAAACACTTGAAGCAATCTCTGAATATATTGCAGAGACCAAACCATCAATGGACACTGATCCACCTTCCGCTCTTCCTCTCTCCTCTGCTCCATCTGCGCAACTCCTTTCTTCACAGCGCACCGTTCCTTCGCTGCTTGAACATTTTCCACTGCCTCCGCATGTGGACTTTTCTAACCCTTCTAGTCCGTAGGAACCCTTACCTGCGGATTTCAAGTATCTTTATCATTGCCAATCATGGCCTTTTTACAGTGGAATATACGCGGCCTCAGGGGAAATCGGGGTGAGCTTCAGATGTTACTCTCCCAGTTTGCCCCTGTTGGTGTTTGCTTACAGGAACCAAAATTACACTCTGCTGTTATTTCTCACATCTCAGGCTATAATTTATTGTATTCTTCAGATCCTTTTCCTGATGGGACCTTTAATGAAAGTGCCCTTCTTCTCCGCACTGATATTCCGTACCATCAGCTATTTGTTCATACTTCGCTGCATTACACAGCAGCCCGTATCCACTTACTAGGTGGTATACGCTCTGTTCTTTATATCTCTCTCCTTCTCGGGCATTATCTATTCCGGATTTTGCCTTCCTTGTTTCGTCATTACCGCCCCCGATTCTGTTACTTGGTGATTTTAATGCCCACCATTTCCTCTGGGGAGGGTCTCACTGTGATTCCCGTGGAATTCAGTTAGAGGCTTTTCTTGCCACCCACCCCCTCCATGTTTTAAATACAGGTACTCACACCCATTTTGATCCTCGGACTCATACTCTCTCTTGCATCGATCTCTCAGTTTGCTCTTCCTCCGCCGCATTAGACTTTACTTGGTCTGTTCTCCCGGACTTACATGACAGTGATCATTTCCCAATCATTCTTACTTCCCCTTCATATTCGCCACCTCTTCGCACCCCACGCTGGCAATTTAATCGGGCAAATTGGAACCTTTACTCACACCTGACTGTTTTTAAAGAGGTTCCTTCTTCGTCCTCCATCGATGAGCTTTTACACCTCTTCT